TGTTCGTTTCGTCGCTTCTCTCTCGATGTGAGGCACATCACACGGCGTTGCTCATTTCGTCGCTTCTCTCTGGATGTCAGGTACACCACACGGTGTTGCTCGTTTCGTCGCTTCTCTCGATGTGAGGTACACCACACGGCGTTGCTCGTTTCGTCGCTTCTCTCGATGTGAGGTACACCACACGGCGTTGCTCGTTTCGTCGCTTCTCTCTCGATGTCAGGTACACCACACAGCGTTGCTCGCTTGGTCGCTTCTTTCGATGTGAGGTACGCCACACGGCGTCGATAGTGCTGCGGTCCACCCGTCGGATAGACCACGCAGTCCGGCCCTTGAGAAGGCGCGTGCGCCGGGTCCGGTGCGATTCCAGCCTCGCGCTGACGCCTGCCGGGTTGACAACAAATTCCTATTAATGTCCCCATCCACAGTCTGCGCCTCTCCGTGCGACGCTTGCTTTCTACGGTGCTGCCTTTGTACTCCATCTCTAAGCAAGGAGTGTGGCTCGGGCTAATGCAGCTAGGAGTGCTCCTCCTCCACTAGCCACTCAGGCTAGTGGAGGGGGAGCACTCCTAGCCGTGTTCCACGGGTGACCGTTATAAAAGATCGCCTAGAGCCGGGCGCCGTTCACGTTCCCATGGAGCCCCGTGTTTATGGAAGTAATTATTTCGAGAACCAATACCATGACACCTCAGTGAGCCGGACACGCGTAATAATGTACGGATCAACGTTGGGAAATTATCAGGGGATGGGCACTAGTCCCGTGCGTGTGAGGCACTGCTGACATCGCATGGAAAATGGTTACTTCTATGCATTTCAATAGGAACTGCTTATTAGCTTGGCTGGTATGTGCAAATTATGGCCAGGCAATACGCAACAAATGCTTGAATTTTCGACACAAGTTTTCCACTTTCAGTTGTCCTAGAGTAATGCAACAGCCACAATTACAAAGAGATTCTGTTTTGGGCCCAGCCCAGGATGTAAAACAACCAGAAGATTCCCACATTGGTTCTGTTTCGTTGAGCTCCTCTCGTCGCAACGCTAGAATCAAAAGTGGTCTCACATTTCCTTGCCTGCGAAATGACCTATATCGAAGTAAAATACTTATTGCCACAAGGTAAAATACTTATTGCCACACACAAGAACGAATCCTTTGCATACGAAGACACAGCCTATGAATTTAGACAAAATATCACAATTTTCACGTAAATATTGAACACTGTTTTTCTTCGGGGCGGGGGGGGGGGGGGCAAATACATTTAAGACACCCATGAAGGCCGTTCATATGAGTGAGTTGCACATGATCAGCGTGCATGAGTTTCGGTCTTCACCGTGTGCTGCGAATCGTGCACGGTTTGTCTTCCAAGTTCTGGATCCTTGAAGCCATTATTTACTCTTGCGGATACGAAAGATATAACCCAGCTTCATGCATATCAGTTCTCCGTACAGTGGAATTGGGCTTGGCAGAATGACGACCCACGCGGTCTGAGCGTGCACCGCGCGACCCTTAGGCCGAGACGACCAGTTGTGTGCCGTTTAATGTGGAAACCTCACGTGTGCGGAGCTCATGATGCGCTGTATGCACACTTACCCTGGAACAGTCACTGCTGTCCTCAAGGCACGAGTCAGGAGCACTGCGATCGACGGGTATTATAAATATATTATCATGTCTTTGTGTGAGTGAATCACAAAAATAGTATATTCTTGGTTACTGGAAGCCAGATATCACCGACACTACCGGTGGTCCAGCCCAGCCTGCTACGGTACGTGGCTGTTCGGTACAAAGGAAGTGGCAAAGACATGCCAAGCAAACGCACAGATATTAGCATTGTGCGTGACGTTACACTTACACTTTAGAAAACAGTCTTGACTCAACCGACGGGGCTTTTTATTTGCGGTGCCACGCGCTTTACATATCACTGCCTGATTTTCCGACAGTGGACGATGGCACGCCACATTAATGAATAAGGCGCAGTGCGATTCAGCCATTTTTTATGTTACGTCCGAAACGTTCAAGGCTTTTGCCGCTGCACCCGGGGTCTCGCTGAAGCACGCTCACATGGCAGAGGCAAGCGCAGCACGCCCACCCGGCGGGCGGGCGACTCGCTAACTATCTGCCTGACTGAGAAGAAGCAAACCGGACGAGAGAGCGGGAATGAGAGGGGCGAGAGTCGGGACGGCCAGAGCAGGCGCCTCCGACCTCGCCCCGCGCGGTTGAGCTGGCGGTCGGGTTTCGTCCGTCGAATCCCGCCGAGCCGGGCGCTCCACGCTCACGGATTACCCGTCCAGAGGTCATGGGAGGACAACATGCAGCATGAGAGATGTCCCAGCGGCCACGCCAGCTTTCGGCGAAATAGCCGAGGATTTGCCATCACACCACTGACAGTCGCCGATCATGGTAGGATGGCCTCGCCGGCTCGTCTCCGCATCTTCGAGCCTTCCCGTCCGGACTACGCCTTGATCCAATTTCCTGGCGACTCAAGCATTTCAAACTGGATTCCACTTTTACTCAAACATAACGAAGAAAACAAGGAAATAAAAACAAACACTAGAGGTGTGGTGTCACGCGGTGTTTATACCCTTACGCTCTTCTTAAGACAAGCCGACCAAAATCCCATTAGTTTTAAATCTGTGCGAATATCTTGAGTGCAATGCACCGCTACGAATTTTTGTATCTTTTGCCGCCCGCCGCGCACCACCGCCGGTCCCCGAACCATGCTCGCCTCGTGCAAAAGCCGCCACACCGCCGAAATCCTTCTCTGCCACAATGACTCAGGTTTCTGTGATTGGTATCCACCGTCGACCGCAGCTGGAGCGCCGTCCGCTGGCCTGCCGCCACCACCGGCATATGGACCGCACGGGGAGAGGAGAGGGATGCCACCCCCACCACTGGACCACGGACCGCGCGGAGGGGTGGCGGAGGGGAGGGGGTGGGGCTGGCTGATGCCGCCGCCACTAGACCACGGACCGCGGGGGGGGGGGCTGGCTGCCACCGCCACCACCGGACCACGGACCGCGCGGAGGGGGGGGGGGGGGGGCTGGCTGACGCCGCCGCCACTGGACCACGGACCGCGCCTTCCGCACTCTGAAGTCGCCGTCACAAATCCGCATTCGCCACAATTAGCTCAAATATCGCTGACTGGTGTTGGTCGGGGATCACCGCCGAGAAGGCAATGTCGTCAAATGGAGGTCAGGCTGTGTGAGTCATGGCGAGATCGACCAATTAAATTAAAAGTGTCCGATAACATTAAGACGAGGAAAACTACGACACCCATATAAAAGGACTCCCTCGAACATGAATAACGAGTCTGGATTCAGGGCAGCTGACCGCCGACCGCGTCAAGAGCCTTCGTAACACTCGAGGCATGCAAGTCCTCGCCCAGTCATGCTTGTGGTGGCCGGTCAGGTATTCAATAATAAACTAACCAATTTTACCCCTGAACTAAGCTGTTTTAATTCTTAAAACAAGCGAGTGGCGTCCTTTGCACATGGAGCGTTGATTGCGGTGGCCGTTGCCGTTGTATCTGTCTGACGTGCGGGCTAGCCTGGAGAGGAGGCAATCCGTCGGTGTGCGAGATCGAGTCACGAACATAATGCCCTTATTCTAAATGGTCGAAATATGCCGTGTGTGTATTGCGGCGGGCCAGGCTGGCCGGGTGGCATGCTTGTGTCTGTTCCAGAAGGCTTTTCCCGTATTGTTAGCGTTCTCTTCGTGTAATTGATTAGGCGGTCTGTGTCCGTGCTTGCATTTCACTAGGCGGTCTGCCTATATTGCTCTTACTAAGTGGCCTCTATGTCTGTTGCTTAGCTAGATGATCTTTGTGTGTTATTGGTGGTCTCTGCTCGTTTAATCTCACAGGCGACCATGTGTGCTACTAGCGATATCTGCACATTTAATCTAACGCATCTATTTGATTGATGCGCACGCGTAGTGGAACAGTCGCTTCTGTCCATGTCTATAGAGTCAAGCAAAGTCACAACATCACTGCTGAAAGGAGTTCTCACACTATAAGCCCATGACAGTGGGCTTTAGTACAATTAGTATTGCACGTCCATGCTGCTGCAGTGCGGAAAGACCGCTTTCGGATATGGGCTGGTGCGTGAGAATAGAATGGTGCGTCCGGGAGGTGCCATAGCTTTTGTATCTTGTGATGTGTACGTGTATCGATAAATAACGCGTTAGCTCGTGCATCTCTCGGCGTGTATGTTCATCTATGGGTTAAGGTAATTAATAATCAACACAGTATTTAGCGAGCCATGTCATCATTTTGTCAAGCGGTTCAGTCTGGCTTGAAGTTACTTTCAGCGGTGACTATTCTTTTATCCGAACCGTTCACGTGTTTCGTATTGCCTCATCGCTCGCCGTTCCGAATCACTTCCTCGCTGTTCGGACTATGGGCCCCCTTTGCTTCCATTAATTGCTGCGAACTATTGGCCTTTTCTTGCGCGTAGCCATTGGTATAACGTGATCTTGCATTGTTTGACTCCATTTCTGTCAAAACATTGTGTGCAGAACACACTTCTTTCACGGCGAGCCAATCGTGCAGCTAGTTCGGAAACTCATTTGTCAATAATTCTGACGAATGTGCCCTTGGTAGCGCTAAATGACAAGACATGCTGTATGGGGGAGTCACACACAAACATAGTTATCATGCTGCCGTGAGAGTGGGGTCTCAGGGATCGCTTGCTGAATAATGCAAACGCTTATGACTTATATGGCTTATATGGCTTATATACTGAAAGTGGTTGTGATATATTGCAACGACATTTCAGGTTTTTCGACTGAACGGCTGGCTTACTCCCCCGTTTAAACTTGTGTTTTGGCCATATTATTTAGTTGTGCTCCACTTCATAGCAAAACTGCCGCGCCCCTGGAAGTAGGTTGTGTGACGTGCAATAATGAAGTTAAATGTGGTTAGCCATAAGCTCCTGGTAGAAGGACCTCGTCAACCTTCCCAAAACGTCCTTTCCAAGCAGGGCAAATAAAAACAGGCAATCATATTTACCTGGATATCCAGCTGGTCTTGGGTCAACTGGAAAGGCAACGGAGGCTCATGCCGTGACGTGATCCGCCATCATGAGAGGGGTGCCTGCTGCTTCCGGTCCGATGTGATGCCGAGGACGGCGATCAGCTCGGAACGTGCTGAGCTCCTGGCGACGGAAGTGACGCAACAATTACGTACAGCTACTGCGCTTCGGATTTGGAAGTATGGGTTCAATTCCTGTCACAGGTCCAAATATTAATAACTCCGGTTTGCATCCCAGTGCGTTGATGCCCTAACCTGCTAAAGACCTGGCAGTTGATGCGTTGACCTGCTAAAGATCTGGCATTTAATGCGTTGGTCAATTTCTTAGCATTTACCCGAGCTGTGTCTTGCCTACTTGTGTGAAAAGCCCCATGCCCAAGGCACTCAACGTTGTTGAATACTAAACGTCACTGAACACCGGATTCATAAAACTGCAGTTTCGAAAGCACCGCGTCAGTGCTAGCACAGATGCGGAATGGGGAACAGGTCATGTTTACGACGCATTGCATAGCTGATCTCTTGGAACCCTTGCACCAATATTCTCTCATCGAGCACGCAATAACACCGAGCCTTGGCTGATTTACCACGGCGTAAATAGCGAGCGCTTTATATGCTGACATAAAATATTAACAACAAAATGCTGTCACGGGATGCTGCAAACCACAAGCCTGAGGCATTTCTTTTTAGTAAAAACAAATGTAGCAAAACGAGAACAGTTGAATAAGGCGAAGTGACACAAATTCGGTCGTGACACAATTGATACACTTCACTTCGATAATATTTGTTAACGTTAGTTTCAAACACCGTGTAACTTACGACATAACGAAAAAGGACGCTTCTAGCAAAGTGAAAACCGAAACATGGCACACCTAAGTCAGTTTTTTGCGTGGCCTAGAACAACCCTAGATAATTAATAACGTAAAATAATAACTAAATAATATAATAACTAGATAATAACTAAATAATAACTAGATTATATAACAATAGTATTTATAACATAATAAAAGCAGAAACCAATTAGATAATAACTAAATAAAGTGATAACTATAAATAAACAATAGGGTTCCACGCATGCTTAGAATTTTGTCAGGCTGGTTATATAAGCCTCTCCTTGTTAGTAAATGATTAATAATATAACTAGATAATAACTAAATAATGACTAGATTATATAACTATAGTATTTATAACAAAATAAAAGCAGAAACCAACTAGATAATAACTAAATAAAGTGATAACTATAAATAAACAATAGGGTTCCACGCATGCTTAGAATTTTGTCAGGCTGGTTATATAAGCCTCTCCTTGTTAGTAAATTATTAATAATTCAGCTCAGCTGCTTCAATGGCTTTGAACGTGGCGTTCGCAAAAAATATGGCGGTTTCGCAATTCAGCGCACGGAAATCATTTGGCGGTGTTGGTAGCACCGCTTTGGGCAATCTAACCACCCCAGTGATTTCCAAATGCGCAGCCAGGTTGTCACTTACTGCGGCCTTGACGTTGATTTTGTTGGAGTTATAACAGCTCCCCACGTTTGTTGTCCTAGACTTGGAAACGGTGCAGCGCGAATATGATTTCCGGTTTCGTCACCAAATATTCACGGGTGCTCACGAACGTTTCGAACAGGACGGACAGGTCGACACGCAGTGCGGCGGGCGTTCAGGCGTGGACGCAGCGTCACGCGACGGGCGTCAACGTGAGCGGAAAGCCGACGGCTGTCCGCCGAGGTGGCACACTCACAAAAGCCCGAGCCACACTTGCACGAGTCAGACCTCCTTTCGCACGAAAACAGTAGTGTGCATAATTATCACCAGTTCTTGCAGATGTCATACACATGAAACGTCCCCACTCTTCACGTGCACTGACGCCACAGTTCCATTCGCAACTGGATTCGCCAATCTGTGTTGCCATGCGCTCGAGCACATCAATGCTGGTTTTGAGGTATGATGGTTTGCGGTACCGTCAATCTTCCGTTGCAACCAGCCTTGTATCAGTTTTCAAGTCGTCTTCCGGATCTCACCACCCAGAGAACCCCATCTCATGTTAAAGCTTCCGAACTGTTTTACGATGCTCGATTCAATTCGAACAGCGCGCGCAGCCAAGCCATCGTGCAGTCTTCATCCTGCGCCCCGCCCACACACCAGCGGCGTGGCAGCGATCTGACAGGCCAGGGGCGCGAGCTGCACTCACGGGTCAAACAGGGCCGGAAGGTCAGGCGCCCGGCCGCAGAGCGCCGGGCAGGACGGAGCTGTGCAAGGGCGCAGCCTGGGTCACGTGGCGACGAACTATGACGCACAGCTGCGCTAATTTCGGCGCGACAACAGAAGAACTGGGTGCCGATTATCAAAGTCCCAGGAAGTGAGCCGTTGTCTGTGCCGATGTTGCTGTCCCTGTCTGCGCCCATGACTGGGGAAACTACCCCGAGGCCGCTCCACTACGCACGGGAGTGCGCGGGCGGCCGGCTTCCTCCGCTCGCAGGAATGCGACTCGAATGGAAGTGAAGTGCTCTGAAATATCATGAGATTGGATTTGCGAACTCACCGCTTATTAGATAAAAACTCATTGTTTCCATTGCTTGGTTCCGCGACGTAGGAACCGCGGAGGGGGCAACAATATTTATCAGCTTCTCCCGCTTCTTCAAATAGAGTTTTTGCTTTAGCGCTGTTTGCTTTAGACCTATCATGTACATGTCGTGAGTATAGAGCTTTGATTGGTAGTATGACATGATATGGCAGCACCGTATGGTACCATATAGAGCGGGAGAATTCAGACACTTTTGGCAAACTCCAGCGCACTCCAGCACCGAAAGCTCCGGTCACTTGAATATCATTGGTTCTGCCCGTCCGCTCAGGATTCCCTCAGGACAGCCATGTTCGTTGAGTTCCAGATGGACTCACGGACCCTGTTCAGGAAAAGGTGCTGTATCTCCGGGCCTGACGACAAAGACCGATCAAGCTAGTTACCACGTGAAAAGGGCACATGAAGTCCTGGCAGACCGACTCATGACTCGGCCATGCAGTTTCCCGAATCGAAATTAGACATAAAATGAATACTAATCATAAGTATCACACTAAATATCAAAATTGGCCCAAAAAAGGACGAGCGTTTCCCCGTTGCGGCTTCCTCAGTATCCGTTTTTTGAATGCCAACAATTTTTCAGGTCACCAAGATCTAAACCACGCGTGTTTTTGATTCCAGGACAGCCTCACTGGAAAGAATCTCCCGCTATAAACAATGTGTATCAAGGATACAGAAGTGACATACGAACGACGACATGAGATGTGATGATTGCATGCTAAGCAAATGATCCACGGACCTCCACGGACAAATATAGCGCAAAGGGTGATCAGTGGATGGTGGGGGTGGCACCAGCTGCCAAGATGAAAAAACAGATGCTCGGGTCTGGTTTTTGCTGACGAATGACCAACATAATTTTCAAATTTTCAGGTGAAGTCAGCAATTTTTAGCGCAGCCACATCTTTGCGAGGGCGCACAATTTTATGTTTAAGTACAACCTTACTCAAACTATCAATGTGCACTTTCGATTAAAAAAACTACACATTAAGTCAGTTTCTCAAAAGCCGTCACGCGACCTTTGTCGTAGTTTGCACGCTTGGCTGCGGCGTATTTTTGGGCGTCCCTTTGTCAGGACGACCACCAAACTTTAGATAACACTGGCAGCCATAAACATGCGTCTTATGTCTTAAGTATGTGTTACCTTAAACCTAAGTGGCATCGATTAAGATGAAATAGTAAATAGGCTTTCAAAATCTGACTCCACACCAAATCTGCCAAATTAGTTTACAATTTTGGGGATTATTGTCTCAAACTACAGTTATGACGATTTGGTTGAAAAACAACGCTCATCAGGATATTACATAAAAGGGACAGGTGTCGATAGTGCGGTGGTTAACGCTTACAGGTACGGGGCTCGATTCCTCGCATTGCCCGCGCTTCCGCCAGGGTGAGAGGCAGGTGACGTCATAAAGACTAAGCAGCAGAGTGCGTCGTAAAACCCCCACGGCCATGAACAAATGGAGAGTACGATTGGCAGTGTTTAAAACAAAAACGGAGAAAGTGGAGACAGTGCGCCGTCGCAAGGAGTTCGTGCGAACCATTACCCGTCGACTCGTCCACGGCGGTGCGCGCACACAGCTCAGCAACACCATTTAGTTGCGTCGACAGCTGTGCGTTTTTTGCCATCGACGCGCTGTTTTTGTAAGTCTACGTGCTTGGTATTAAACAGCAACACGTGTTGAAGATGCGTGTGGCTTCCTGCGACTTTGTGCAGAGCTAGGTGCTGGTTTGGCGACAATGCTGTCCATAACTGAAAAGTTCGTTGAAGGAAGCTATTTTTCATTCACCAGCGTCTTCAGTGCTCAGTTTCATCTAACCATGTTTCACCCATGGAGGCTTTATTTTGCACAGCGATTGTGGACAAGACAGCATGAATAGTTAGTACATAATGCCTGCGCTTACTAAGCATATGTTGGGCATTGGTGGTGGGATGGTCGGACCTCAGCCTTCAGAACTTAGGGAACATGTGAAATGAACATGAGCTGCTACTGAGCACTGAGAAAAAATGTCATTTACCGATACAACTATCAGTTGCATTGTGTGGTGGTTAATGGGAACAGGCTTGTTATATGTGACTGATCACTGGAAATAGGTATCTATCACGTGGTTTTACGTGGACCAGCTGCCCCCTTATGGTGCAGTCATGCACAAGCTGTATGCAGCTGTGTTATCCAAATAAAATGAATTTTGGAATAGAATCTTTACTTCATGCTAAGCTAGTTAATCAACATTTATTGCACACCATTTTGACTTCACTCAGGGTAGGCACTGCAGGCAACGCGACTGTCCATATCTCACATTAAAAGTGTCCAGGATACAACTTGCATAAACATAAAATTTGTCTATGACGGGTCTTATTCTCTCAATTCAGATGTGTTTTGGTGTTTTGGCAAAGAAAGCTGCCTCATACGGCAGTCTGCATTATCTTTTGGTCTTGGTATGTAACAACCAAGGCTTCTTCCTGAGTGAATGGAAGAGTCAATATGTTCTGCTCACGCTTTACTGCTATGCTCTTTTATGCACTTTGCAGCTGTTGCATGATGTTTAGGCTTGCCACTTCAGCAGTTTGCTTCAATGAGTAACATTACTAAGGCCAGTGTTATAATATACGATATTAATACTTGCGTTCATGACATTGCCAAATATATTAAGGATTTATCAAAGTTAAGCTCCGTTGCATATAAGTTCTTGGCTTTGAAAAACTCATGCAAGATTGTTTGCGCATCTTGTTGTCGTAGATTGTACATTTGCGTTGTATTTTTTGACTGCCGTGGGATGTAGTTGTAAATCTTATGCTCTTGCTTTGAGAAACTGGATTATTCGATTACACACCAAAAATTTCGCCAAAAATCTATGTTTTGAGAAACTGGCTTCTGGTGGAACAACGCAGAATACATCGTTCCCAACATTAACGACGCGATATCGTGCAAGCCACATCTAATTGCGAGTGGAATATGTCCCATTTCTTTGGGTTCTGTTGGCCTTGGGCCAAATTGATTCCGGTGGCGACAAATCCTTTAAAAGTTTTGAAGGCTAAACCGAATTTGTCCCTCAATTCTTGCCACGCCACGACAAAATACAAGGTAGGTTTTGTGGATCCGGGATGTAGATGACCATTGTTTCGGCACCCACTCAACACTGTAGCTGTAACTGCGGTTTTTCCGGTGAGGAGACGATGGACAGCCTGCTATGAGCACCCCCCCCCCCCCCACTCTTCGCTTTCACCACCCGTGGGTATTCCCTTTTGCTGTCGTGTGGTGCGCTTTGGACCAATCCTTTTTGACAGCACAGCGTATCACGGTGTGCACAGAAGATCACCCATGCCAGTCCCTCTTTAATTATCATTAATGAAAACAGAAAATTTGCTGGTGCTTGGATTCTTTTGGGCGTGCGTATATACCTAAGCACTTTGCGTAATTTTTTTCTGATACCTACACCTGCGCATTGATGACACGTCAACGCCATCATGCCGTTCTCATTTTAACAATTGCTCCAGATGTACGGCTTAGTTCTATGTGTCCGAAGCAGGGGAGGGCACAACTCATACGTCCTCTGGAACTCGAATTCAGTTCACCATAGGCGTGCGAAGTTTATTGCGCGCCGTAACATCATCGCATGTTCATCATCATTTTATTGCATCATAATTTTTAACCGTCACTGTCTAGTTACGCATATACTGACACATGTCGTACACGTGTCCCCGCGTTTTATCTACGTACACCCATGTCGCTGTGCATAGTGGTTGATGCTTGCTTCCAGCAGTTCGTGAGCCTAAAATCATGCCGCCGCCGCCCAGTCCGCCGCGGCAAACAAACGCGTTAACTCATCCCTTGCTGCGGACGCGTGCTGGATAGCCACAACACATCTTTGCGGCACTTTTAAAACTATACAGTACATGACAACGCTGGAATGCATAAACAACAAAACCAGAACGGCCTTTTATAACACGGCGCACAAATGAATGCGTGAAACGTTCAAACCGACGGTATCTGCTTGGATCTCGGTTGGTTCTCACCGCGCTTTTGCAAGCCGGAAATCCCATACCTGGTGCTGGAATGCATAAACAACAAAACGAGAACGGTCTTTTATAACACGGTGCACAAATGAATGCGCGAAACGTTCAAATGACGGTATCTGCTTGGATCGCGGTTGGTTTTCACCGCGCTTTTGCAAGCCGGAAATCCCATACCTGGTATTCCTGACTATCTTACTACTACGCATTGCTTCGATAGCGTGCGTTCATGCACACCGTGTTCGAGGTGCCCGACCCTCGCTCAGGTGCCGCGCGGCCCACGCAAGGATCGATGCCAGGCGCGTAGCCGCGGCTATTGTGCAACACTGTAGTCTCTACGTGTGCGCCCCACGCGTCCACCCCACGTGTATCCTGAACACCCGGGAAGCAATGCTCCCGCCACCGTTTTCCAGGGACACGCAACCAAGATGCACGCATCAGTGATTCGAGATTGGGCCCGTGTGGACCGGTATATT